CTGGCATGTGGTGCTGGGGGATTGAACCGCGGTCCCTTATGCTTTTGCTAAGCTTGTTCTAAGTAGGTGCTTTAGACCACTGAGCCATCTCACCAGCCCGGGCCCATTATCTTGGTCCATGTTCAGTTGTTTGGAAAATAGCACTTTTGAATAGGGAGACAAGTTTTTATTTGTTAGTAAGGCTCCATTTGGCCATGTCATATACTCAAGGACCTCACAGTGGCAGGAGTCCAGGGAAACCCCTTGTGTGCCCATTGTCCTGTCCTTCTGGCTGCTCTGACACCAATTCTGTTCCTAGCATTTGTTCTTTTCCCTTTCCACAGGGAGACTCCGGGGGCCCTCTTGTCTGTGAATTCAACAACACATGGGTGCAGGTGGGCATCGTGAGCTGGGGCATCGGCTGTGCCCGCAAAGGAATTCCAGGAGTTTACTCAAACGTCGGGTTCTACAAGGACTGGATTGTGAGAGTACTGAGTCGGTCTACTCGCTGGGACACAGCTGGCCTCCTCATCTCACGCCTGTGTCTTCTGCTGCTCCTGGCATCTTGGTGACCCTCTAGTCACCCTGCTTGGTCCTCCCTAGTTCCGAATCTCCCTGTAGGTCTCTTCTCTGACCATTCCAGTGTCCTGTGCTAAAATGCTGGTTTGACCCATCTCTCCCTGGAGAGCCCACAGGGGAGCAGAGCAGGGAGACTGGGCCTGCAAAGGGTCTTGGTCCTGAATACTGGTCACTGCTCCTGCCATGTATCCACCAGACTGTGCTGTGCCTGAGGGAAGGAGCTGATGGCCAGTCAAGTGCCCAGCATTATGCCAGAGTGAGCCTGGTGACACCTACATAGATACCTTGGAGAACGTCCGCAAACAGAGATATCCTCCGCCATGGAGTGAGACCTAGACCTAGCTCTGGGGTCAGGCTGTGCCCTGAGCCTGTGAGAGGTCAGCCAGCTGGGTGACTGGTGAGAGGGAGAAGCAGGCATCAGCAGGTCCCTACACAGGTGCCAGGATGAGCCTTACACATGGTGTGGGTTCACGTGTCAGGGGACAGCCTCAGGTACACTCCTGATCTTGGTGCTTGTGTCCAAGCTCCTGCCAAGCTCCTTCCATTCCATAAGCACTGGAAGGGAAGGTGGTCAAAGAGGCCTAAAGGGAGACTCGGAGCTAAGGTGCATCCTGGAGCAGCCCAAGTTTTGCCGAGGCCATTTAAGTGTGTGGTGACTTCAGAGTGCACCGAATAAACGTTTGGACAGTGTTTTGTGTGTCTTCACTTCTGCTCACCTTCATGGTGACTGCGCAGAACGTGCTCTGTGCATGACTGCTTTCCCCTTTAGCTAAGGGAGCTACTGTGTCCTTACGCACCCCTGGAAGAAGAGAGGAGACTGTGCCCACTCAGACTGGAGTCCAAGGGTGGGTTGTGTCAGTGTTCCTTCCCCTGTGTGCCTGGCTTAGTTAGCAACCCCCTGCAGGAGCTTGATGTTTGAGTTGAACACCTGCTTTTAGCAATGGGATTAGGAGAGGAGCTGGGTCAAGCGTGAAGCCTGGGTGTACCAAATACTCTTCTCCTTTCCGTGCAGCTTACTGTGTTTCTAAGACTCTGTGACCACAGGGGGAGGAGGGTTACAGCCATTTACCAGATCACACGCAGGCTTTCTCCCTCACACAGGGTACAGATCTGCAATGTCCCTGTGATGGACCCCTCCCAATCTCCTGCCCTTGGTCTTTTGGGCGTCAGTGTTTCACTCTGGCATCAGTGGGCTCCATGTACCAGTTCAATCTGCTGCCCAGGGAGGTAGGGCTGAGAGCTGCCATCAAACTAGATCTCTTGTTATAGCACCCACTGCTTTAAGAAAGCTCTAGCTATTTGTGGCAAAATCTGTTTTAACATTCCCCCCTCCCCGGGACACCTATTTGCTTGAACAGCCAGGGCCCTTGATTAGCAGGCTGCTTTTCTAGGTGGTGTGGTCCCACTCTTAGCCTGCAGTTAATGCCATTTCATTGAAGAACACTGGTTCTACCTCGGAGGTGTCCATCGGACAGGTGAGGGTAGGCCTGAGAAGGTGCCTTTCTAACAAGTTCTGGGGTGCTGGCCTGCGGACCTTAATTTCAGAACTAATGCCCTGCACTCCTGGGAGTGGAAAGGACTCCTTTGGTTGGCTGCAGTTCCCTGTTCTTCTGTGGGCCACTTGGATGGCAGGCTGGGCGAGGGTCGTCAGGGACCAGCAGGGCTGAACTGCGTTATGCGAGAGAAACACGCATTCTCTTCCCATCTCTCTCCTACCCCAAAGATTCAAACACACACGGCCACCAGGAAAGGGGACAAATGCCTTTCTTATACCAGGCTTCCCCCAGGATGCCTTGGCTAGTTTTAGGTCCCGCTCAAGGAAGTATCTTTCACGGTTTCGACCCAGTCCTGGGGTTACGTCTCACACTGGGGCACCCTGAGGTGCTTTCGCGTGGCCAGTTACCCCAGGCGCAGCCACAGAGCCAGGGAGCCAAGCCTCGCAGGCCTACACTGCGGACGGCTACGGAGTCGCCCGGGGCGCGCGCACGCTCCGGCGACGTCCAGTGGCCCCGGCGTGCGCGGCGCGCCCGGCTGCGTGCTACCCAGCGTGCAGCAGCGACTGGCGTGCGTCGCGTGCCGGTGCGAGCGAGCGAGCGGCTGCGAGGTGCGGGGGCGCCCCGGTGACGAGGCTCATGGCAGTGCGGGTGCTGAGCTGGTGCCTGCTGCTGCCGGCGCTGTGGCCGCCGCCGAGCGGGGGTGAGGCTGCCCTCGCCGCTCCGCTGCGCCCCTCTCCTCCCGCAGACCCCGCGCGCTGCGGCCGGCCCCCGCTCGACCGGGCTCTCTCCAGGCCACGCCGCGCCGCTCCTCTGCCAGTCGGAGCCGGCGGCGCCCCCACAGTGGCCCAGACCGTTGGCAGCGCCCCCTGGGCTGAACCCGGCGCAGTCCCACCCGTCCACCCAGAAACAGCTGGCCAGAATCTTTTCCCCCGGCCGTTACCTCACAACGGCAGGGTCCTTTTTTCCCCTTAGAGCACAGGGTCTCCGAGGCGGGGTCCTTTGTCCCTTCCTACAGGTCCCTCCAAAACGACCTGCATGGCAATGGTCACCTCCTGTGCGGGGTGCACCTGGAGTCACCTGCCGAGTGCTGACCCCCTCCCCTTTCCTCCCCCTCCTACTTCACTCTCCCCTCCCTTCTTCCATCCCCTCCCTTTCTCCCCCTCCTTTCCTCTCCCCTTTTCTTCTTGTCCCCCCCTTCCCTCTCCTGTTCTCTGCCCTTCCCCTGGTCCTCTCCCAATCCTCTCCCCTCCCCTTCCCATTTCTCTCCCCTTCCCCTCTTCCTCTTCCATGCTGTCTTCCCCACCCCCTGTGGTCCGCCTTCTCACGTTCTCTCCTTCCTTTCCCTCTTTCCCGCTTGTCTTCCGCTTGCTGTTTCCCCCCTGGTGTCTATTCCCCTTAATCCTAGGGCCACTCCTGGCACGTCTTTATCCTTCTTGGTCCTGCTACGGCCGCACCACCCTGAGCCCGCGCATCTCGTCTGCTGGTCCTGACTTTTCTCTTCCTCCCTCCCTTTTTATCTTCGGGAGTTTCCTGATCTCCTCGGCTACAAGGGAAGCCCCTTTTCTGTCCCACCGGGTCACTCACGTGGTGTGTAGTTGACGCACCCATGTGCTCAGAGCTGCTGCTTGGGCCCTGCCCGCTTCCGGTGCACAGCTCCCTGGGGCAATTCAGCACTCTGGGCACTTGGGTGCCATTTCTGTAGGTACCTCAGAACGTAATAGGCCTGGATGTGCAGGCACGTGCCGGATGTCCCCACCTCAGGCCTCATCATCCTAAAGAACAACTTATCTTACTCTTCTCGAACTCAGTGGGCAGCAGCTCTTTTCCAGACCCAGAAACCGTTGCCACCCTGACCTGCTCCTGTCCCAGCATCCCATACACAGCTCATCTCTGTCCTGAGTGAACTACTTCCTCATCCAGACCGTCTCATTTTGTACCTGGGCTCTGGACAGCCTCTTGTCACCTTCCTGCCTGTTCTTTACTGCCTGACCCTGTCCCATCTCTCTTGGCCTCCCAGGAGGTCAAGATGGAGCCCAGCTTCACTGAGTTTAAGAAGAGTAAGAGAATTTGTTTTTTAAAAAGATGAGGCCTCTGATCAAGAAGATTATGGGGCCAAAGAGGAAAGTGATCGATGACATAGA